ACATATGAAAATTCTCCCTACTTTCCTGTAAAGTGAAGAATTAAGGAATACACCAGGACTGCTAGATTAGCCTTAGCACTCTGAATTAACTCTTTAATATCTTGGTATTTAAAAAAGCTTATTTGTTTCACTGAGCATAATACCCTCTAGCTCCATCCATGTTGTTGCAAATGGTATGGCTGAATAGTATTCCATTGTATATGTGTACCACCTCTTTTTTATCCATTCATCTACTGATGGACTCTTAGGTTGCTTACATATCTTGGCTACTGTAAATAGGTATGGGGGGGGACTCGATAATATGGGTAAATGTAGTAACTACATTGTTTTTCTTGTGAAACCTTCATAAGAGTGTATATCAATGATACCTTAATTAAAAAATAAATAAATAAGTACATTGGTGGTAACATCTTATACTTCTGGGGGAAAAAAGCTTATTTGTCAGAGAAATTCAGTTAAACTGAACAGGTATGTATGTGGCTTTAATAAATGTGCTTATCTTAAACCTCTGTATGATCTTATATTTTTATTTTGAAATGGGAACCTTTCATTTCCATGTTCAGGGAAAACTGAAAACTGTTTCTAAAATAATTTGCATGTGTTGATGTGTGCTAAACAGAAGGAGTAACTATCAAAGAATAATTTCAAGAAAGACACTTGAAAGACTGAACAGAACTTTGTAATGTGACAATTAAGACTACTTAATATATATGTGGAAATGTTCTGCCTGGGCATTTGGCATTAGAATAATAGAAATATAGTGTAACACATATATGTTGGCATGTATTTGAAATCCCAGACAAATGGTGAATTCAAATAAAATTATGAGGTCTCAGGATCTGTTAAGAAATCAGGATCTGTTAAGAAAACATGATTCATTTATAACTAACGCTAACACTAATATCTATTGTCATCAACTTCCTTGTAACTTATATATCACTGGCCACCTGTTCTAAGCAATTTATAAGGAATTTGCATGTTGCTAGACAAGAAATGTTGTGAACAGGAATGATTCCATTTCCCCACTCTTAAAACTGGTTGCTAATTTTTCCTTGTAACTTAATTACTTCTGATTATGGTAATTCAGCTACTATGGACAATGCCCTTTCTTTCATATTCTGTGATATGACAGTCACTGTACCTTGTTGAAACTCAGCCCTGGTATTGCGTTACTGTTATTGCTCCTGGGGAAGCTTATTAGCCTGTCACTGAAGATGTAGGAAAACTCCATCATTCCTTTTGGAATATGATGAGTCTTTGTCACCCACAATACAATTAATGTTAAAAATAGAAAGAATGGCTATGATATGATAATGATTAGCTAGAGATGAGCTATTGTCCAGGCAATGGGAACTAATCCAGCAGGCCAAAGATGACCTCCACAGAACCACCAGTTTGCTGATTGCAGTTTCTCTGTGAGTTTGATGAAATATTCATGCCTTTGCTCTCCTCTCTGCAAGCACTATTGATTTCTTGTATAAATGCTGCTATATTTAGTCTAGACAAATGGAATGTGGATTGCTGCTGAATAAATTGGATGAAAGACTGGGATCTTGCCTGCCGCTTTCTCTCAGTCTTGGGCAATTATTTATAATCAAGAGCAGTTTTTGTAAGTTGAGGGTGATTTTTCACAATTTAGTGATTAGTCTCTGAACAAAGGCAAGCAGTTAGACACAGTAATTTCTGTTGGGCTGGCAGGTTAAGAAAGCAAATTACCCTTTGAGGTTTGCAATAGCTCTCTTGGACAGTTCTGGGACATTTTTTCCTTGTCTCTTTTTGGGGGTGGATTTTTTAGGGGTTTGGTATTGACTGTTTATGGATAACAATGCCAGCAAGAAAAGATCCCAGGATCTCTTGAAATTTTACATTTTGCCTTTGTAGGGTTAATTCTGACCTTTGTTTATTGGAATTTCCATGTAAAAACTAGAGGCTGTAGTTCAACCTTCTTAATGTAATGAAAATAGATCCTTAACAGCCATTGCTTGGATTAGAATTATGTCAACTCTATAAATTAATGCTCAAAATCTCATGGTATTCCAGAGCCTTGACTGAAAATAGCACACTGAACCTTGCAACTAGATCTTACAGGCCATCACCCTCATTAGTTCCCCACTTGTCACAATTAATATCTTTCCTTTCACAAATATCATGTTTTAGAAGACATTACCCACCAAACTGTGGATTACTAATAATATTGTTATATGATTTTTATTGAAGTGATGTATGTAGTACCAGCAATGCAAGCTTTCAATCAATACATTGTAAAACAACCAGTGTTGGCCACCCAGGATTGATACAGCCCCCTACACCCAAGGGTACGCCCATGTGCCTGGACAGACACACAATCCAGATGATAAGAAGGACATTAACGGTTCATTCTGCAGTCTGCTTCTAGGCACAGGATTTCTCTTAGGTCTTCTTGACTCACTGAAAAAGGCTCTTAAATCCACATGCAATGTTAACTTGGTAGTTCCCAACCTGAAATATGCAAATCCAAATTGCAGTAGTAATCAGAGCATTAGTGTAGTAATTTGGAAAAACACAGGAAAGTAGAAGGAGGAAAATTATTCAGCTTTCTACCCAAAATACAAACATTTTCTGTTCTGTATTTCACCAGTCTTTGGTTATTGGAACTTGGAGCCCAATATAATTAAAACCCCAGGAGAATATATGCTCTGTGAGGGCTGGAACTTCTCTTTTTTGTTCTACTACTGAACCCCAATATTTAGAATCAAGCCTGGGAATTTAAGTTTCTTGATAAGTATATACTGACTAAATTACATTATATTTACTTAGATAAAAGAGTTATTATGGGGTATATGTCACTCTTACTGCTGTTTTTTTCACTTAAATGTTGTAACAGCATTTTTCATGTTCCCATAAACGTTATTTTTAATGATTTGCATATTTTTCCACCAAATGGATATGACATGTTTTACGTAGACATTGCCTTGTAATTAGTGATTTCAACTAAAATAATAATACTTCAGTAAACAATATGACATTCAGCTTTCTTCCTCTATTAGTATTTTCTTCTTAAGATATGTTCCTAGAGTTGGCAAACCTGAACCACATGGTAAAAATATTTAATGCCTCTTGATAGATATCACCAAATTGTTTTGCAGAAGTTTTAAATCAATTGGCAGAGCCACTTGCAATATATAATTGTCTACTCAATCATGTATTTACCTTATACAGTGGGACATTGTACACACATGCATGTGTATACATAAATCATATATATGATACTTAATAATTAGAAATGATGCCTTACTTTTATTTAAAATTTACATTTCTTTGCATGTGAAGGTAAATTTTTTTACTTGTTTAGCTATTTTCCTTTTTTTTTCTTTTCCCATTTTTCTAGAAGCTTTTGTTTTTATTTTCTAATATTCAATAGAAATCATACATAATTTTATTTTCAAACTTCCTTCTAATATTTTTGATTGGTTAGCCACAGTGTTGGTGATATATTTTAACATAAAGGAAATTTCTGTTTTTATATAATTAAAATAAAACCTGAAGTGCTTATTGAAGGATATGCTGTATGTTGTAAATCGTTGAGTGGATTATCATATTTAATCCTTTTAACAACTCTATGTTGTTACTATTACTGTAATTTTCTCCATTTGACATATGAGAGAGCTGAGGCTGAGAGAATTTAAGTAACATACTAAGGGTAAAACGTTAGAAGAATGGGAGAGGCATTTCTATTTTAGAGCAGCAGCAGTTGAAAATTGGCAGCTTTCATGTCAAAGCTAAAGCATTTTTTTTTTGGTGGCCATAGTGTTTAAAATTTTTAAATCATTAAATATTGAAAATTAGGAGACTTCTGTCTACACTGTATCTGTATTTTATTCCTTCCTTTTTCTTTTTATTTTTCACCAGTAATTTGTTGTATCTCAGTAGTGGCTGACCACTTTAGAAGAGCCATGAAATACTGTTCACCAGTTTTCCCTCCAAAATCCCTATTGTCTTTAACAAACATGTTTCATTCAACTACAGAATATTCTTGATTCCTGTGGCAAGGGTCATAGTCAAAATATTTAACAACCGGCTCAGCATAGGCATTGACTGATCAGAATGGATGCCAGCGACGAGCAGCTGATGTATTGGCTTATCTGCCCTGTCTGAGCTTTCGTGCTTAGACCACTCCTACAAGTTATGTAATAGAAGCCGTGCTAAGAATTTTATTATATTACCTAATCTAAGTCTGATAAACTTAAAATATCCTGTAGTTATTTGTACTTCATCAAATTTTTCTTCTGCTAATGGTCTGACTGAACACTTGTGCTAAGTATCCTCATAGTTTTCCTGCCTAGTTCATTTTAAGAATAAAGTAACTGAGCCACAGATGATTACCATTTAAATATCCAGCACATAGAAATGTGGCTACTTTCAGTCCTTGATGTCTGGGCCTGGCATCATTGCTGTGGTTGATTACCTAATTTTCTCACCATTTCCCACATTTTAGCATGCAGGTCTGTTTTGGACCTGCTAGGTCCAGTAGGTCTGTAAAATACCTTAAAAGCTTTCCTTCTTAAGGAATGTATTTTAGGATTTATCTTCTGACTCTGATTATAAACAATGTGCACAAGTGTACAAATTTAGTTATCTTAAAGTTCTCTATTATGATATCTTTCCTTCAATAAAGTCACCTTTTTTGTCCTAAGTTGACTTTTTTGTAAGTGGTCCAGTAGAATAAGTTGCATGAACAACTTTGATTACTGGTGAATAAATGGAGTCCTCTCTTTGAAAAGGGAAATGTGGAAGATTTGTACCAGAGTATAAATTCTTGAGTGAAAATTAGCATAAGGTCCATTAAAAAAAGAACTAATATATCTCTTATCATCACTGTAAAAAATAAAGTGACTTGATTTGTTGACATGCAATTTGCTGTATAGGATATAGTGTTGTTTATTTTTTGCTTGTTTCCAAATCACTGTGCTAATTTACTTTCCTTTATTACCCCTCCCTGACCCATTTTTCTGTTTCCCCAGTGGATGTAAAGTCGGAGGTCCCTGTGGGCCTGGAGCCCATCTCACCTTTGGACCTAAGGACAGACCTCAGGATGATGATGCCTGTGGTGGACCCTGTTGTCCGTGAGAAGCAGTTGCAGCAAGAATTACTCCTCATTCAGCAACAGCAGCAAATACAGAAGCAGCTCCTGATTGCAGAGTTTCAGAAGCAGCATGAGAACTTGACACGGCAGCACCAGGCTCAGCTTCAGGAGCACATCAAGGTAGCAGATGTTTCCTTGCCTCTGACCTTTTCCCGCAGGAAGTCTCCATACGACTGGGGCATAAAAAGGAGCACTGGGACAAGTTTCTCTGTGAGTAAGACATGGATGTATGGCTGGAAGGAGACTGTGGCTATCCTGGTGAACATTTGCATAAACAGTAAGAGTGCTGACTAAAAACCTGCTTTTCTTCTTGGACGGACCTCTATCTCTGTCTTTTTTTTTTCCTTCAGTTTATAGCATCAATAATAGGAAATAGTGACTTCCTTCTTTCTAGATTTTAATTAACCTTCTTTTAGATTTTCTTTCATATCATTCTGTTCATTTGCCCCATCTACTCTCCACCCAGAAGAACTATGGAACAGGGAAGACCCATTTTATTCTAAAGAGTCTGCATACACTGTTCATCAGAAAAGATAAATTAGTCACTTTATGAGCAAATTTTTTTTTTTGCCTTTGGTCAACAAGTAGATGTTTAGAGTATGTCCTAATCTTCCTTATGGAAAGAATCTCATAATGTATGCATTCGAAATAATAACACAGAAAGCTTAAAATAATTGTATATGAAGACACTAATACAAATGTTTTCAATATTTTTATATAAATCTAATAGATGATAGAGAAATTATTGAAAGAATTTTGGGATAATGGACATTTTGAGATCCAATAACTTTGTTTAAGTTATTCTAGGAGAAATATGCCCATGTCTCAGAGTTTTTGTTTTTATTTTTGTTTTTTTTTGTGATGGACTGGTTTACTTTCAGATCATGTTAGATGTCTCTGTATCTGTTTCATCTCTTAAATCTTCAGAGATAAATATTAGTTTACCTTTATTTATAAAATGTCTTTCAACGTCTTGACAAAGAATTTAAAACAAAGCTATTTTGGTCTAAGTAGATGTTTCATCTGAATTTATTATGACAGTAATATAAAACAGCAAGTATTTATAATAAAAATTCATTTTTATGTCCAACTCATTCAGAAATGACTTTATTATATCATAGCTCATGACCTTATTTTGTAGTATAGAAAAACTTCATTTAGTTTATAGACATTTTTGAATGATTCTGAAGGATTATTATTTAACCTTTGAAACACTAGTAGGCACATTGATGTCTAGATCTTCATGCATTCTAGGCACGTTAGAATGGCAATTATGGATGAGTACAATTTATATTCTCCACCATATTTTAAGATTTAAGTAACTATATGGTTCATTTTGCTGTGATAACATGGAGTCATGTTGCCCCACATACAGGGCAACACTGTTAAGTTACTTCTCTATTTATTTCTTTTCATTTATGCTTGATGCCTTTTATTGCTGTAAAGACCAATAGAAAATATTTTAAAGTAATGTATTATTTCATTTTATTCAGATGTTAATAGTAGCAAGTAGGTAATTGTTACTTTGGCTCAAAGTAATACAGTAGGTTTACTGATGTCAGGAAAATACTGGAAAAGAGGAGGCTCTTGAAAGGATATAAGATTCTGCAATACTAAAAGAAAAATTTAGCTTTTGAAGTGATTTTCCAAAGTAATAAGTTGTTTTCACAGAAACTAAAGATACATTTAAATTTCCTTTTATGTTTAGGACTTTTTAGCTTTTAAAAATTTGATTTTATTTTGTTTTATGTTTTTTCTTTTAACTACACTTAGATTTTATTTTTATGAGGTAGACACAATATATGATGCTTTGATTTCTTTCATCAATATATGTTGAGTTAGATGCTGTTATCCTATTTTTCCACCTAGTAAGCTGAGGCAGAGAGAAATACTGTAACTTGCCCAAGGCCACACAGCCAGTAAGTATTTCATTCAGGATGTTGGTCTTCTTGTCTGCCTCCAAAACTACTATAGCATCCTGCTGTTTCCTGGACCAGAACATCTGAAACTGAAGGGGTGAAGTTTTGTTTCCCTCTGTTTTTTTTTTAACCTCATTCCTGTCTTTGATAATGAATAGTAGCTATGGAAATTAAGTCGTGTGCTTTTCTGGATTCCTAAGATAATTAAATTTCAATTCCATTGGGGCTTTGGGTGAAGCATGGAACCAATTTGACCAATCGCAGTATCTGTATAGAATTAACATTTAAGGCAGAGTTTAAGCAAAGCTATGAGTTTTTCTGTTACAACAGTGTCTAATAACACCCAGTAAAGCATGGGTTGTATAAAGTCAAAATGCCAAAGATTCGAATATGAGGAGTTAACCAGAAATGCTTCCAACCATATCCTTCTGGGAGAAGTGAGGCTTTCATGACTGACAGAGTTGAGTTCCTATTGTAACTGAGGTACATTCCACAAAGCTTCTTATTTTTATCTTATTACTTTCCAGCATAAATTTCAGAATTTCAGTACCTATTTAATATGAACAGTGAATTATACTAATTTCTTTAATGTTGAGGATTAAAAATATTAATAACAATTAAAATTAGTATGGTACAAACTTGCAAACTAAATTTCATCTATGTTATGAACATGAATGTGAGGGAGATTCTTTCTTGCATACAAGGAACCAAGGCTCTGAGTAGTTCAGTTAGTTGTATAGATCTAATATCCAATAATGTCAGAGCCTACGTAGAATTCAAAGTCTTTAATTGTTCCTCAGTGGGCACATTTACTATTATTCATATATGTCCTTTTTTCAGCCTAAGAAAATGCTGACATTTCAAAATGGTTATTAATGATGTTTCATATTCATATTATTCATTGTTTGGAAGTGAATTTAAGGGATTCAGACAACCAAATAATATGGCATCAAAGTGTAATTTAATGGCAGTGATTTCTTCTTGCCTGATCTCTCTACTCTGAAAGTTTCTGTTTGCTGGATGAATGAACTAGACTTTTGCTACTTTGATTGAAAAACTTATGAATATACAGAGTGTGTTGATCTACTGAAAACCATCCTTGTAAGGCATTTATATTTTTAACTTTCATTCTATTTCAGGTAGACTTCCCCAAATTAACTCACTTCTCACTCTTCTATTCAGTTTGATTATTTTCACACCATTTCTCAGAATAAGAAATGAAGATTTCAGTTGTTTATTTATAATGTGAGAGACTTGGTAAGATAAGCTTCTGGGAAGTTCCTGCCTTTGCCTGTCTCATATATTTTAGATGTACAAAGAAAAGGTACTCAGGGAGTGAAAGATCTGAGTAATTTGGTAATGATTATTGATGGTGGGGCAAAGGTAATGAAGCTACCTAAAAACTTGCTTATCAATGACATTAGGACCATCCATGGCATCAGCTGCTTGTCTTTAGATTTCAATAATTTACCCAGAAAAGAGTGGGTGAAAAGCTTAACTAAATACAAACAAATTCCAAAAGCTCCTGACATTTCAGTTTTGGTCAGTGATGACTATGAAGCCTAAAGAAATTGCACACTCTCATGTTTTTCTCTTCTCGCAAGTTGCAACAGGAACTTCTAGCCATAAAACAGCAACAAGAACTCCTCGAAAAGGAGCAGAAACTGGAGCAGCAGAGGCAAGAACAGGAAGTAGAAAGGCATCGCAGAGAACAGCAGCTTCCTCCTCTCAGAGGCAAAGATAGAGGACGAGAAAGTAAGAAGCATCAGGGTAAAAGATGGATCTCTTCCCTCATCTTTAACTGATCATCCTTCAGAAAGAAGCCTGATAAAGTGTGGAATTCAACCTGTTAAAATTGTCTGCATTTAATTAAAAGAATAAATTATGGACCCAGATATAAGGCTTGACATTCACAAATCAGCCCTCTGCATTCAGTCTGCAGAGCACCTCAGAAAGTAAACATAGCATTGTTTGGCAAAGATGCTAGTTTCTGTTTTGAAGCTTAAAAATGATATTATACTAAAGTACTCTAGCATAGTTCTGAAGCATACTAAACTTACTGCCACATTTCTTCACTATACCTTCCTCCTGCACAAGTAACAATTCTGTTAAGTCAAGCCTTGCCTCCTTTTAGTGTTTGAGTACCCAGACTTAGGGAAGATTTATGGCAGAACATTCGTAAAAAAAAAAACTATCCACAAGAGGGAGACATATCCAAATAATTCCCAGGTACTAGATCAGTTCAAAACCTTGTAACAAGGTTCAAAACTGAATGACTTGAACTGGAATTGTTGGCAATATTCATATGTTCAATGCTCAAAGTTTTTTAAAAGGCTAACAATTGAGAAAATATCATTTTTATAATTTAATCATTATATGGTTCCCCCAAGATTTCAGATATTTAAAAGGCAGTATTTACATGGAGAATATAGTCAATGATTCTGTGACATCTTCCCACATTGATAGATAGTAACTGCACGAGAGGGGGTGAGGATTTAATAATATGGGTAACTGTTGCACCACTGTGTATATGTTTGAAACCAACATAAGATTGAATATCAATGACACTTCATTTTTTTTTAAAGAAGTCAGTGTTTTCTCCCTCAGCAGTATTTTTTAAAGTTGAGGAATAAATTAGCAGAGGCATACCTCAGAGGTATTGCGGGTTTGGTTCTAGACTACCACAATAAAGTCAGTATCGCAATAAAGCAAGTCAAATGAATCCTCTGGTTTCCCAGTGCATATAAAAGTTATGTTTATACTATCCTGCAGTCTGTTAAGTTTGCAATAGCATTATGTTTTAAAAAATGTACTTACCTTAATTAAAAAATACTTTATTGCTAAAAAAAAACATGCTAACCAGCACATGAGCTTTAGTGAGTCGTAAGAGTCATAAACTTTTTACTGGTGGAGGGTCCTGCCTCAGTGTCCATTTATGCAAGCTGATGAATGGTTGGCAGCTGAAAGCTGTGGGGGTGGTCGGGGTGGGGGGTCTGCGGCAATTTCTTAAAATAAGCCAACAATGAAGTCGGCTGCATTGATGGTCTCTTCCTTTCACTAACGATTTCTCTAGCATTTTTCTGTGAAGCCGTTTGATAGCATTTTACCCACAGTAGAACTTCGCTCCAAGTCTGATTCAGTCCTCTCAAAGCCTGCTGCTGCATTACCAACTAAGTTTATCTAATATTCTAAACCCTTTGTTGTTGCTTCAAAAGTCTTCACAGCATCTTTACCAGAAGTAGATTCCATCTCATGAAACCATTTTCTTTGCTCATCCATAGTAAGCTGCTCCTCCATTCAAGTTTTATCATTAGATTTCAGCAATTCAGTCACATCTTCAGGCTTCACTTATAATTCTAGTCCTCTTGCTATTTCTACCACATCTGGAATACTTCCTCCACTGAAGTCTTGAACCCCTCAAAGTCATCCATGAGGGTTGAGATCAACTTTAACTTTCCATTAATGTTGATATTTAGACCTTTTCCTATGAATCATGAATGTTCTCAATGACATCTAGAATGGCAAGTCCTTTCCAGAAGGTTTTCAATTTACTTTGCCCAGACCCATCAGAGGAATCACTACCTTATGAAATGTATTTCTTAAATAATAAGACCTAAAAGTCAAAATTCTTTGATCCATGGGCTATAGAATGGATATTATGTTTGCAGTCATAAAAACAACAGTAATCTCCTTTTACATCTCCATCAGAGCTCTTAGATGACCAGGTGCATTGACAATAAGCAGCCATACTGTGAAAGCAATCTTTTTTTTTGAGCAGCAGTCTCAACAGTGGGCTTAAAATATTCAGTAAACCATGTTGAAATGGATGTTCTATCATCCAGACTTTGTTGTTCCATTTATAGAGTACAGGCTAAGTAGATTTAGCATAATTCTTAAGGTCCCTAGGATTTTCAGAATGGTCAGTGAGCCCTGTTCACCTTGAAGTCACCAGCTGCATTAACTCCTTATAAGAGACAGCCTCTCTTATAGCTTTGAAGCCAGGCATTGACTTCTCTCTAGCTATGAAAGTCCTGAATGGCATTTTCTTCCAAAAGAGGGCTGTTCTGTTTATACTGAAAATCTGTTGTTTAGTGGAGCCACCTTTATTATCTTAGCTAGGTCATCTAAATAACTGATGCAGCTTCTCCATCAGCACTTGCTGCTTCAACTTTCACTTTGATGTTACAGAGAGCACTTCTTCCCTAAACCTCATGAACCAACCTCTGCTAGCTTCCAGCTTTTCTTCTGCAGCTTCTTCACCTTTCTGTCTTCACAGAATTGAAGAGAGTCAAGGCCTTGCTCTGGATTAGCCTTTGACTGATGGGAATGTGGTGGCTGTTTTGATCTTTAGTCCAGATCAGTGTAATTTTCTCCATGTCAGCAATAAGGCTGTTTCACTTTCTTATCATTCATGTGCTCATGGGAATAGCCTTTTTAGTTTCCTTCAAAAACTTGTCCTTTACAGTCATAACTTGGCTACCTGGCATGAGAGGCCTACCTTTTAGTTTTCTTGGCTTTCAACCTGCCTTCCTCACTAAGCTTAATCATTTCTAGCTTTTGATTTAAAGTGGGAGGTGGGGGACTCTTTCTTTCACTTGAATACTTACAGGCCATTGTAAGATTATTAGTTGAGCTAATTTCATTATTGTTGTGTCTCAGGGAATAGGGAAGCCTGAGGAAAGGGAGAGAGAGATGGGGAAGAGCTGGTTGGTGGATCAGTCAGAACACACAAAACCCTTATGGATCAAGTTTGATGTCTTATCTGGGTGTGGTTTGTGACACACTGGAACAGTTAAAATAGTAACATCAAAGGTCACTGAGCAGAGATCACCATAATGACTATAATAATAATGAAAATGTTTAAAATATTGTGAGAATAACCAAGATGTAATGCAGAGACATGAAGTGAGCAGATGCTTTTGGAAAAATGATGTCCATCAGCTTGCTTAATGCAGAGTTGGCACAAACCTTCAAGTTGTAAAAAATGCAGTATCTACAAAGTGCAATAAAATGAGGTATGCCTGTATTAATTCTGGAGCTCCCCTTTCTGTAAAAGCAATTAGAGGATTCATTGGAGATCTTTTGAAAATTGGCATTTTAAGCAGTAGTTACAAAACATCAGTATACCATTTTCTGATGCCTGTTTAGACTCTGATTTCTTCTGTTAGTAGGAAAACTTCCTATGTTGTGACTAGGGATGTTACTTCTTAATTTTTACTAAATACTCTAGAGGCATAAAAGGACAAAACCCAAAGTCAACAACTGTTTCTGTGTGTGTGTTTCAGGGGCAGTGGCAAGTACAGAGGTAAAGCAGAAGCTTCAAGAATTCCTGTTGAGTAAATCAGCAACAAAAGACACTCCAACCAATGGAAAAAATCATTCCGGGAGCCGCCATCCCAAGCTCTGGTACACGTATGTTCAGTGTTTGACTGTTTTCCTTCCCGGTATAAAGAACATGGTTTCTGTACTCAGCTGTCCTGGACACAAATCCAGAGCCTGCCAATTCTCAGCTCTGTGGCTATGGGCAAGTTCCTGGAATTCTCTGAGGCTCAGTTTCCTTCTCTGTAAAAACAGGATATTAATAGTACCTGCCTCCTAGGATTGTTGGGAACGTCCTCTGAAATAATAAAGTGTGTAATAGAGAGCAATGCTTAATAAATATTAGCAAGTATCATCTTGGAGACAAAGAAGTATGTATATTGTTTGGTGAATGAATAACTGACTTATGTGGGGCAGGGCATAGAAATGAATTCCTATTTTACATTTTTTTTCTCAGACAGTGCATCTAATATTTTTACAATCATTTCTGAGGATTTGGTAGGTTGATATTTTATTTTACTTGGCTTAATAGAAGATGGAGATTTGAGCTATTTTTAGAAATCTGGAAGGTTTTTTATTAAAAATAAGAAAGGAAGGAAGACAAGAGAAGAAGGGAAAGAAAGAGATGGGAGGGAACCAGCTAAATAAATCTCAGTCTTCAGTGACTAGTTTCTCCCTGACCATCTCACCTCATTTCTTGCAACCCAGTGAAATGAGAGTAGATTGGGTTCTCAGGCACAAGCTGACAGCATAACACACTGTGGTGTACAGTTTTTATGGAACCATGTTTCCCTGACTCCAGTGAAAAGATGCTATGCTATACACAACTCTTCTTTCTGTCAAATATGAAGGATGTGATGTTTTAAAAGTGACAAAAACTGATAGACAAATCATATTTCGATAATAGACTAATAGATAATAGTTTAATTTTTCTCATTTTATAAATGTTTGCTGAATGGCCATACGATTTTACACTTACGTATTGTTTTAATCCCTCATATCATTGAGAATAAGGAAGTAAAGACTTGATTGCTCTACACTGAAATTATAAGCCTCCCAGGAGTTTTATTTAGTATTATAATTATAACTCTAATTCATAAATATCTACCTTTCTCTGCATCCCAAAAGGAGGTAACTGAGGCAGATTCCAGAATGCTGTATAAATACTTTTTAATAGTTTAGGTAATTTCTATTATACATGTCAGTTGACTTGATAAACCAATCCCTAAAGAAAATTTTCAAATATTTGATCATATTACAAAGTATTTACAAAGGTATACCATTTTATTGCCTAAAAATGCATATAAAATTTATAAACTAGTTCATATTCCTTCTAAGTTAAAGCCAGTTTTAAGAAATAATGCCTTTTTTATGTGGAAAACAACTACATGCGAACAACTTGTCAGCTGAAAATTCTTTCCACTGTCCCCTTGGGTATATTAAATATGACTCGCAAATGCTATTTAGCAATCCTTTTTTTGTGTGCTGAATTTAACTTCAGTAGGGTCCAACTCCAGACAACTGTAAATCATTAACTTATGGATTCTGAATGTATTTTTTTGTCAGTTATGGCTGGATGAAGTACCCTCAAACAAGTTAATTCCTGAGAATGTATGATTCACATGAGTAACACTGGTAGGATAATAATCATGGTGGTGATGCCATGCCATATCCACTGTCTCCATATATCATGATTACTAATGTTTATATCCACTGGATCATCTATGTGAGCCCAGTTAACTATTCTCCGGTTAGTGTGCGATTACATCTCTTTTCTTGTGTGTACACAGGAAAGGGAAAACATTTTGAAAAATCAGTTTCATATTGAAGAAAGATGTGATCTCCAGTCTTTATCTTGGAACCACCATATAACTGGAGGACCTGAGGCTCTTGGCACAGTGCTGTCTCTTCAGCAGAAAAGCCACCCTCATGTACTTTAATGTACTACTTAGCATTTTTTTAAAGTGAAGTCCTTCTGTATGTTTACTTTTACCTTGCTTGCTCTACATTGTTGACTAAAAAGGATTCGGATGATGACTTTTTCACTAGTATGGCTCTTAAGAAAACATACACAGTGGTCTCAGATTATCAAAACTTAGAATCTTGGTAAATTTTCTTTTTTAGCGAAGCAAACTTTTCTACATGACTGTGTGACCAGACACACAGTGGGCGTTCTTGGGAATCCTGCATCTTTCCATAACACACTGCTAAAGTGAAGTTGGTTACATGAGGCTGTGGTTTGTATACACTAAAAAGAAAGAACATAAACACAGCTGAGACACATGCACAGCATGTGCAACTGATTACTGCTGACCAACACGCAGAGAAAGCTCCAGTGCAAATGGTGAGCCCCCTTTTTCTTTCGTAGGGCTGCCCACCACACATCACTGGATCAAAGCTCTCCTCCCTTGAGTGGAACATCTCCATCCTACAAATACACATTACCAGGAGCACAGGATGTGAAGGATGATTTCCCTCTTCGAAAAACTGGTAAGTTGGTCTAACAAAAAGACTCCACTTGCTCTTCCTTAACATTCCTGTAGTTTTATTTTGCTGAGCCTCTAGAGGAAAGTCAAAGAATTTGAGTCATAGCTATTATGCCCTGTCCATCCCTGCTTTCAGCATAAACAAATATGCACATGTCATGCATGCATGCACACGTGCGCGCGCGCACACACACACACACACACCCCTATTTCCGCATCAGTTGATTTGTTATATAGTCCAAGCACCTTTTTTAATTTAAAAGCTTATCCTATCCTATTTGAATTTTAGAGAAAATATTATCTTATTAGCAATACAGACTAGAATTAAGGAAAGTAGAAATTTGATTTCTCAGAAAATTTAAAATCTTTCTATCAATGAGGGCCTCTGTAATTTCTTCCATTCATCTGATTTTCTGTTGAACCTCAACCATTTATTACAAAAACAAGAATAATGTGCTTCTTTTTCTTTGCATGTTTTAAAAACCTTAAGTTTTAATTGTTTGGTAAAACAGATAAGGCCAGGCTACTTTCTGAGTAAGTGACTTGCCTAATGTCTCACAGATTACAGGAGAACTCATAGTGAAGCTTTGTACCTAATAATCTCTGTACTTATATTAAAATTTACTTAGGGGACCTGAGAAAATAAAGTTTCTATTTGGAATTTAGTAAAGAGACCTGTGGCTTTAAGGCCTGTATTTGTTTCCCATCTTTTTTTTAGCTCTCTTATATGTGCGTATTTAATGTTTTATGCGCTTTTACCTCTATAGTAAATATATTTAAGATTTAGCTAGATATGAGTATATATAGCAGTTGTGTGCCTTCTGTTCTAAATCTTATGATGTTTTCCAAATATAATTCTTTAGAAAAAGTTGTAAATTAAAAAAATTTATATTCACAATTGATCTGAAAATGTACTCAGAGCAGATAGTTTGATCTATTGTATTTTATTTAGATCTACTTGAAAAATTATAGATCTATGTACTTTGTATATGAGATCTACATAGTGAAAATGATTTAAAATAATTTTCATTTTCCCAAGCAATCTCAAATAATTAAAATATATATAGATTATAAAAACACATGCTGAAGCTATTTTCTGTCTTGTAATTTACCTTCCAGAATTATAATTTAAAAATAAAATCAATCATAAGTCAGAATTTATTACCTACCAACTATTGCAACAGGCGCTGGAGAAGGATGGTCAAGTATTGCAAAGCAATCCATGCCTTTTTTATTTTAATAACACAGAGATTTTTGCATTTATACTATAAGACCGTAATTATAGTAAAGTACTTCAAGAAATCTATACAAAGGGAAGAATGAGTTTTGTGTATTTCATCAGAATTTCACACTATTATTTACAAATCAGATTGCCTTTCATATAAATAAACTTCTCTAGGATAAAAGAAAGAAAGCAAAGAGTGAGTCTCCATGTGTTTCTAAAACATAGAGTATAGTTTATGAAAATTGATCTATAGAGAACATGAATTTTTAGAATGTGCCGACTTTGATCACAGCCTTGACATTTAGTTGCACCATTGGCATGTGTAGGAACCATTGACAGAGATCATGTGAATATTGCCCCAGGTTCAGTGTAGTGACTGGCATTCAAGAGCCCAAAAAAGAAAGAAAACACACGTTCCCTATGGCAGGAGGTTACTGATGAGTGATATAGTTACATTCACAGAGAAAGACTTCTACCCTGCTGTGCACACAGCCTTTGAATATATTCTTACCACTGGGAGATTGAAAACTGAATGCAGAACTGACACTGACTTTGAAGAGAAGTGGCATTTGGAACCAGTAAGCATCCAGAAAGAAAATCTGATATTTTTCAATACTTAAGGACAAGTACTAAAACCCACACTTTGTGTCCCACTGTTTCCATGAGAACAGCTTACAATTTTTCCTCTGTGAAGAATGAATAGCAAGCTGTTAATTTATTCTTGTAGAAATTCTTAATCCACAACAAAATTCGAAGAGAAATCCTGCTCAGGATATATGTCACAAAATTTTGTTCAAATCTGTACTAATATGAAAGACTTTTCTGTGTTAGAAACATAACAGTGAAAACATATAGCCCTTGTCTTTTCTAGTGGTATATTTTCTGGTCTGTGCAGTATTTTAAGTTTCTTTCCTTTATATTGAAAATCTAATATTTATGAAGTGTTAGACTATTGATCTGTAAAACCAAACATTCAAGCATTGTACCAATAAAGTTCTTGAACAGCCATTAATACTTTTATATCTCTATAGGGGTTTCAAAATATTCCTTAATTCAACTTCCATTGTTTAAGAAAAGTATGAAATAATTAAATACAGATGTTTTCTACACATTATCTAAAATACTTAAGAGATATCCTTCATTAATTACAAATAGGCAGAACTCTTCCAACTTTTATAAATATAATCCATTTGGTATATTTCCAGTCCACTGAAAGTTCAGACATATATTTGCTCTAAATAGAAAAGGATTGAAATAGTCAAATAGTAATTTCGACTTCAGTATTTGTTATATTTTAGTGACTCAATAGTCATTACAAAAAAAGTGAACAATAGAATATTACCATAATTAAATGTATGTGATGATTAGGGAAATTATTTAATTCACACATAAAGCTACAGCATATTAAGTGATATCTAGAGCAGTGACACTGATCACCTAGTGTAAATACCAGGACAGCTGTAAGAGAGTAAAGCTTTTCTACTGGGGCCTAATTACCATCTCTGTAGTCTACTTGAATTTCATTGAACTCAATCTTAGATTTTAAAGAAATTGTTAAATAAGTGGAATCTTTCTTTTTATCTGACTATCATACTAAATACTTTCAGTTTCTATTTAATCTACATCTGTACTGAATTGCCAGTATGCATTAACAAGATTTAAGGAAGTAGAGCTGGAACCAGAGAAAGAAAAGTCCTAATGACCTTAAAATGATTAAAGTAGCCCTAGGGGTGTCCCTCAAGCAATGAGCACAGTTTGGAACCTCTCTTGACCTCTTAGGACCCAGTCAGACAGTGACAACCTAGGAACAGGCAGCCATAGAAGTCTCATTTGCCTGCAGAAATCTGACCTTTGTCATGCAAAGTGGACCTTTACTTCCTTCCCCTTAAAAGTATCATAGTTGCTCCTAGAATTTGGGCATTTTGGAAACATCAGCATAACATAAATAATTGGTTCTAATCAGGCCCATTCCTAATTAACTTTTCTTTTAAATGTAGGAATTCAGAGTCTTTGCCCCATTCATACCAGTGAACATCAAACGCTTTCATAATTGGCTGAGAAATTAAGAATGAAATTTGTTTTAATTTTTATATACATTGCCCACACTTAAAGTAGTATTTTCTTCTAGAATTACCCTCTGTGATTCCTTTTGTTCCATAACACAAGGATTTGTTAATACTGAAATTTGGAATATTTTGCTGACCTTTATATTTTGGCTGCAAATTATATCATGCTGTAGTAGGTGACTTACCCCCTAATATATATACTGCTGGACTGATGATAAACTATAGACTAGAGAAAGGAAGCTTCTGGGTCCAGGCACTTTTGAAATAGTATATATTTCTCCCAAAGATACTGCATATGTAGTGACTTGAACTGACCTTCAAAACCACTGGAATTGGATTCTGTTCCAGTGGGTGTGTGCATATGTTTCATAAAATATTATGGCAAAAAATTCTAGAAGTTTTATGCTCCATTATATTATTGGGGTCCTACCCAGTGAACTCTGGCTTTCTTTGAATGTTATAGTCTTTCCTTTTAATATTTTTGAACAAAGTGAGCTGGTTGGCCAGATTAACCTCTTAAAGTGCACAAGCCATATAAAGCTTGGCTCAGGCTAATAGGACTGTTCCAGCTCTGCTGAAATAACTCATTTCAATGGTCAGCAACAGTAGAATGAGACTCACAGATGGAAGGGGTCCAAACATAAGTTCAGGTTTTGGAAGGCCAATGTCATTTTCCACACTGAGTAAATTGGAAAGTCAGAGATGAGATATATAGCTGTAAGACCTCCCCCAGAACAGGAGTTAGAAGTTATGTTATGGTACCTTGGTGACCTGTTCAACCTATCATAATCCAGAATTAGTACAAGGACATTTAAAAAAATGTTTTCAAATATTTCTCCCTTAATCTCTCTCTCTAGTTCTGTCCTTCCTCATGACTCACAAGCACCATGCATGTGCGCATGTGGAAATGCACACACGTCTCAGCACAAATTGCACTAAAAGAGCACTTAGGCTTATGAAAGTATTTGCTCAGAATCTTACTACAGATTAACAAGAACTGGAGCATTTTCATATTTGTACATACTTTTATTATTTCTTAGTTCTATTGTTGTAGCTATTCTCTCTTGAATTTATTGTAATACCATAGACCCTTACACAGCAGTGAGGCTAATGGTGCCAAACCCCTGTGCAGTCAAAAATCCGAGTATAACTTTTGACTCTCTCAAAACTTAACCACTCATAGTTTACTGCTAGTCAAAAGCTTTACCGATAACATGAATAATTAACACAAATTTTCTGTTATATTTATTATATACTATATTCTTGCAATAAAGTAAGCTAGAGAAAAGAAACTTTTCATATTGTTGCAAAGCTCTAAAAACCTTTCCAATATACTTATTGAAAAAAATCTGCACTTAAGTGGACCTGCACAGTTCAAACCCATGAGTCAACTGTATACTCTTTGTGGTAAATTTACACCAGTTTTCCCAGAATTGAGAAACAATGCAGTAAGTAACACAGGTTTTGAATCCACCTACTGATTTGAAATCTGAACCTTCCTCCTTGGGAAATTTATTTATCCTCTTTAGGCCATAATCTCCTCATCTATCAAATGGGAATAAGTATTGTACTTGATTCATAGTTATTTTGAAGATTCATTAATGAAATACATATAATGTACTTAGGATCAGACCTAGGATAGAGGGAGAGCTAGTTAATTTTATGTTCTTGACCAACAAGGAGTAGAGTTTAATTTCTTTTCATCAGGTTAAA